TTGGATATATAAACTCTCCCTCAACAAACGCCCAGTAGCCCAACACATACCTTTTCTTTTGAACCTTTCGAGATTGTACCCATCATTCACAATGCCGACAACAATCATGACTACCTACACTCTCAACAGACTAGATGGACTTAGCTGGCTGGGCCAATCATCAATATTTTGGATTTTGTTCGAAGTTAAGGCCCCTCATATATATTTATTTATTTTTTTTTTTATGGTAAATTTCTGAAATCAACACAGTTGCATCTACACCCCTTCTATCGCAATCCGCCAAAATACTCATTCCCCGAGCTTTTATCGACAAATTTATTTCCCAAAATGAAAGCTTGAGTTCGAAAGGGCGATCAGCTTGGATGAAGCTGCTCTTGAAAAAACTATGGGTGGCAAACCTGGCAATCGTCTTTGTATCTATCTAACTACAAAGCCCGAGATACATGAGGCCATGAATTCCATATCTGACCCCCTCTCTCCCTCTCTCTCTCTCTTCCTTATTTTATTATATAAAACTCACCCTGATTTTTTTGCATTTCAAAACCTGTAGAGAACATCCTGTTAGTAAGTTTTATTGTTCAAAATTCAGCTTTCATTAAGAGTGACCATTAATAGAAGTTATAGGCATAAGTATTTAAGTATTTTATATGATTAAATTACCCTTGAATGGCCAATAAAACTTATTAATTAATTTTAAGAGAAAATTATTCCTGATTTGGGCTCAACCCACACTAGGCTCACAAATTTTAGAGTTGGGCCTGGGCTTAATACCTGGGACTGAGCCAACAGGCATGATATTTATATATAATTATTACATATGAGCAATCTGAGGTAATTTTGTCATAAAAACATTTAATAAAATGGATTGGCCATTTTATGGGAGTTTGGTCATGTAAAATACTTAAATGTTTATATGGACAATTTCTATTAATGGTCATTAACTGGGGGCTCTATGGAAATTTTGAAAAGTTTTGATGACTTCAAGAAAAATACAAAGAAGTCATTATAAATTTTAGATAATATCTCTCTTTTTTCTTTTTTAATATGGAGAGTGATCAAGAAGCAACTCATAACAATGATGGGTCCACCTCCTTTCGGTTGTTGGTGGCATTACTTTTTATTTCTTACACAACAATGATGTAGTAAGAATTGAAATTGGCCCTGCCTATTGCCTCTAATGATCAAGATTGTAAAAATTGAAGATTTGTTTGGTTCACGGTCAGAATCAGAATAGAAATCTCCTGGAATCGGAATTAATTGGTTATTCTCCTTTCCTGTTTGATTCAGATGTGAATTAGAATCAATTTCAGCTGTGATTCAGGTGTAGTAAAAGGAAATAATTATATATATATATATATATATCCCATTTTTCTCAACCAAATGGACCCTAAATATATAACAAATTCATAGATAGTAGATGCTAATGCTAATTAGAGGAGAAAGGTACCACATTATAATGTGATAGAAACACAGGTGACTAAGTCAAAGGGTCCTTTAGCAAATGGATTCATTTCAAATTAAGGCCATGTCAAATAATTAATATATATTTACATGTGGGTGAGAGGTGCAGTAGGAAAATTAAAAGAATGGGGGTTTTATATATATCGATCACGTCTCTTTGCACATGAGATGAGATTTTATATATTTTTAAGACAACAGCCCTGTGCTGCATCATATCCTGCATGGCTATGAGAGTAGTGATACATAGTCCCACCCCACGTACCTGTTCTTTTTTCAACGAACTAACCAGTTCTTTTTATGCCGATCACTTGTCAATGATCAAGTAGTTAAGAACTGATCGATCAGATGGTGGTGGCACATACATTCATCTAGATCTCCCAAGCAGAGATATTCAGGACTGTAGGCTCTGGTTCTCCTGGTCCTAGCCACTGGGCCTTATATGTGTGTACACTCACGACCCACCCCCCAGTGAGCCCCAAGACAGCAAAGTTGATTTTAATGATATGGGACCTTGTAGTTTATAGACGCAGACGGTTCATTAATTTTAGCCAAGTGATGGCCTAGGCCTAACCCGGCCCCCCTTTTATATATCCTTGTTACATGCTCAGGGTCTGTCGATCTCAAGACAGACCCTACGGAAAGAGTTTCAGCGTTTCAATGTTTCAACGTTTCAAGCAAAGAAGTAGGACGCCCGAAAACGCTGCAGCCCGCGTTTTACTGATACTTGTGAATAAGGAGGATCAAGATGGAAAGTCATCCACCACAAACCATGGATAAACGATTTACTGTTAGACCCACAGTTACCAATACGTGAATTTGGGTATATTGGTCAACAGAAAAAGTTGGCCAATTTACCCTCTCTATTTACGGAATTGGGATTTGATAGATCGGCTTCAGCCCATTCCAACAGCCATTACAGCCTTACCCGGGGCCGGGGAATATTTAATTACCTATCTACTTTATTTTAGTTCATGGAGAGATATTCCCATTGCAACCCGATAAAGGTTGTCCGAATAGGCTTTGCACTGACTGAAGCCGATTTCCATCCTCACAGCCCTTTTCAACTTTTTGTATTGAAAACATTTTCCAATGAATAAACACATACAAGTGGAGATATATTCAATTCACGGCTGCAAAAGGCTGTGAGGACCAAATCTGAGTTCCTATTTCACCAAAAAATTAATGGGCCCAAAAGGAAAATAGAAGGAAGGAATCAATTGAACCCAATAAGAGGTAATTATTTCACAGTTGATACATTTGAACAAAAAGAAAGGCGTAGTAATTAATAAAGAAATGGATGAACTTGATGAAAAAAATGAATGGAATGTAAAATAACTTTTGAAGCATGACCGGGGCAAAGACATTTAGACATCTTTATGTATATTCTGTACATCAATTCAACACTATTTTTGTTTTGTAAATTGTAATGTCTATTGAATTGGGGTTTGGTTCCCACGTCACCCTTACAATCCATTGTAGCTGTATATTGGAAATATCTACCCACGAATAAAAGTATATAAATAATAAATATTTTCAATGTACAGTTGCAAAGGGCTGTGAGACCAAATCCAAATTCCTATAAACTAGACAGACATTGGCCACTCCACCATGTCAATGCCAACCATAGACGAGGATACCATATCAAATACTCCATCTATCAAATTAATTAAGACCATATAATGAATTGATAAATTGGAATCCTAAATTTAAACGAGCCAATTTGTGAATGACAATGGTCCTGCATGCATGTATTTCAGCTTCCACTAACAGGTCGGGATTCGCCGTCAACAAAATAGTGTATTAATATACGTACCAATGACAAAGTATATATTCTTGATTAAGGGTGTAAACGGATCGAATTTGAATCTAATCAGACAATATCCAAATTCAAATTCAATTAGAAAATCTGATATCCAATAGATATTAAAAATTAATATTTAAATTTGAATCCGATTAAATGTTCGATTTAATTCGAATTTGACTGATTAGTTATTTTAGATAATTAATAAATATTTTATTTATATAAAACATCTAAATATTTTATATGCTATATATAAAAATTAAATAATCGATTAAATTCGGAATAAGATTATATCCAAATTTAAATAAAATAAAATATTCGAATTCGACTGATTAAATATTTGAATCGAATTCAAAATCTGATTGTCGAATACCGTTGACACCCTATTGAAGATTAGCTATATATGTTTCTAATGCATTGCTAAAACAGGGTGGTGTCTGAAACCAGCTTTTTTGACTCCATGTAAGCGCTAAATTGATGATTTGACTTTAAATGGGGACATTATTTATTACATTGGTTTATCTGCACGCATTGAATGCTTGCAAAATATCAAAATTAAATTAGTATTTGGTGGGCATATAAACAGTATTTATACTCTTCTGGAAAGAGTGTAAATACACGTATAAACAGTATAAAGTCTTATATTTTGTATTATTAAACCTATATATTTATGTTTATATCGAACGTCATTGGATCCGCCCTTAAATATCGTAAAATATTGTACAACTGTTGCAAAAGAATCCAAACGCGCACGGCCCAACCCCTAAGAACAAAGCCAACAGATCAAGTAGCCCACTGTGTGATTTTTGCCTTCTTGGTATTTGAGTATTGACTCACTTTAATAGTTTAATTCTCGGGTCTTAGATGATGGGAGTTTCTAGATGACGTTAAGAGTCCCCAACATGTGTCAGGTTAGAGAGTCCCACACCTCAACTGAATGTCATAACTCGTAACACACTTGCAATTTGACAAGTGTCAGGTTAGAGAGTCTCCATGTTTCTAGATGACGTTAATCTCTTTTTTTTTTTAATCAACAAATTGAGGGTGGAGATTGAATACAACGACACGTGGTATGGTGCTGTCTGCTGCCGCCTGTGGGCTTTTCAACGTGGAGTCTTGTCATGTGTATATGACGGGTTGAGACTGACTGATTCGGGTCCACAGTCAACCCAATGTAACGAGGCAGCACCCCTTAATTAACGGACTCCACATTTCCTACAAACAAACATATTGTTGCGAGCAACATCTGTCTGAAAACGATTGGCAAAAACAGAACGTAAAATATACTAACTAATCAAGAATGCACGGAGAGATTTATGTTTTGTAATCTCTGTTTTACAAAGAAAATCTTCCCAGCTCTCACTTTAAAATTTGATTTATCTTAATTCGTGTATAAGTCAAATAATACATAAATAAGAAAAACCCTAAATCCTTAACATAATATATTTAGATCGAACCCACAAACTGAAAATAAAAAAAAAAAAAGAAATTGTCAAACGAACCAGTCATCAAGCGAGGCAAACAAGAATTCAAGGCACAATTCAATATATATATATGTGGGATGTCTACGTAACCCACCCAATTAGTTTGGTAATCATCGCATTTTTCTCATATCAACGACAGTTAGTTATCGTTAATAATTGTTCTTAGTTCTGAATGCATGAATCCCCCATTTTGTCAACTTTAATCCATTTAAGATTAAAATAACTTGTATTTTTGAAAAACATTAATTCAGTAGATGATACACATATACAAATACGATAAGGTTTATGAAACTTGGCGTTCTGATTCTCAAACTCTGACTAGACGACTGGGGGGCCCCTAGTTTTCTCTCCACCTAACTCATTTTACTCCCTTTTCCATGTTTGATCTTTTCTGAAGTAAGAAGCTTCTGGCTTGCAACACCACGAAACCCAATTCCTAGCGCCTTTAGCTTTATATATGCACCTCACCTTAGAGGAGGTTCTTAACCTAATCTCGCTTCTGTTGTTGTTGTATGTGAAAAATACTAAGAGATCGAGACAATTGAAGGGTTTCACTGCTTCAATTCTTTACATAATCCAATAACCCATTGAGTAGTTCATCCAAACATTGTTCGCAGCTGGCATCAGAAACAACGAAAAGATGAAGTTCGGGAAGGAGTTTGCCTCCCAAATGGTCCCAGAATGGCAAGAAGCCTACATGGACTACGAGTATCTCAAGATCATACTAAAAGACATCCAATCTTTCAAGCAAAGAACTAAGCCTCCGGTGACTCCGAGAAGTGGATCAAAGAGAAGGATGGCAATTTACAGATCCTTCAGCGGCCTAATGAAAAGATACAACAGTGTAAGAAGCCACGCCGAAGGAGACGTTGAGGATCAAGTGATACGAGTCGCTAATCCGGAACAACGAGACGACAATTGGGAGGGGCGCTACCAGACTCATTTTCTTATGTCGTCTGAAGAAGGAGGAGAGTACGAGCTCGTCTACTTCAGAAGACTGGATGACGAATTCAACAAAGTGAATATCTTCTACAGGGATAAGGTGGAGGAGGTAATGAAGGAGGCCAACATGTTGAATAAACAGATGGACGCATTGATAGCATTTCGGATAAAGGTGGAAAATCCCACAGAGTTGTTCGATGGGTCAGCCGAGATGGCTCGTCTTGCTTCAGATGTTGCCAGCTCTGCGTCGGCAGTGACCGCCTCTACTCCTTCCAGCGCCAGAGACAGCAGTTCCAGTAAGTCTCGTCTCTCGATCTTTGCATAACAACTTATATCTCTTCATCAATTGTCCCGTTTGTCAATTTGGCAAACATGTAATGGGTGGATTTTAGCTAAGTCCAACCATTCTCCTCTCCTCGATCGATGTCCTCACTCAGGAAAAAAACGAAGAAATGCCGGTAAACATCGAGTATTGCAACTCTGTCTCTATTCTTCACTGCGCGCTAAAAGACAAAGTTGGAAACATCTTTCATGGATCCCACGTCCCACCTAACAAGAGTTGCATCAGTCGTTGTTTACAAGCATTACTTTTTTTCTGTGCGACCCCATTAAAACATGGAAACGTCAACCTCTTAACAAAATATATTACATTACTTGTTTTTTTTTCTCCTTTTATTTTTAATTTTTTATCACTGGCGTATCCAACTACCCATATTTAATTGGATAAATGAGGTTGGAGGGAAGAGCTGTAATCATATAAGTTAAGAATTGCTTCAATAAACTGCGAATACGCCAGCGTTTGCAGCATCACTCACATCAACTGAATTTTTAGTTGAAACGTCGATTTATCACGTTTCATTCGTATGTTGAGGGGGACTTGATGGAAATGTTCTGAGCCACCGACCTGGACAGTATGACTGGTTGATCCAGGAGTTAGTTCCAAAACCGTGTCTCCAAGTGTCAAGTTCTTCAAAACGTTGACCATGGTCAACAATTTATACATAAATCATATATTTTGTAGTACTACATACAAATTTACTATTTTGGGTTTGTATTGAAATAAAATATCTCCAATTAACATAAATACAGGTTTCACAATCATTCTCAAATAACTATTCCACCTAAAAACTTAACCTATTAGGGAAAGTGCTTTTTTTATTTCTTTAGAACACCCCACTCTTATCTTGTGCTGAAATTTAATTAATTATAATAGAGGCAACGAGGAATTAGACACTAAACCGTTTAGTCAAAGAGACTAATACTATCTTAAATTATTAGGTGAGGTCCCTGAACTGGTGGATTATAATTCAACCAACAGCCTTTCAATTATATTTTTTATAACACATTTTAAAAACTAAATGCCATCCATTTAAGTTAAAATTTGGTTTATGGGTTCCAAAGGTGTCACTTCCAAGAAAAAAAAAAAGAAAAATTAAGACAAACATGAAAAGAAATCCTATACTTTAAAGGCTATGTTTGGTTTAATTTGAAGGAAAAGGTAGGGAAAGAAAGGGAAACCTATGCAAGGTTTGTAAAGGTTTCCCTACATTTTCCTTCCTTTTCCTATTTTTTCCTTCAAACCGAACACAGCCTATGGTTATGGGACTAGAAGCCATACCAAATAGCAAGCCGGGTTTACCATTTAACCTGACCCTATAGGGTTGGGTCAAGCTGGTTTACCGTTTAACTCAACCCATTTACAACCCTAAATCATATACAATGCGACCAGTACAAGTTTCCTAGGTCCCCCTGCAACAAGAGAGAGAGAGAGTGAAAGAGTAATGGCTGCCTCTGGTTTTCTGATGAGATCAAAGAATTCGTTGATAATGCAGGTAGGCGCATGGCTGTAATAGAAGAGGCTGAACCAAGCACCCCAGAGAATTCGGATGACTCAAGTGAGGACACAAACGTCAATGACACCGGAACTATCAACAGGACTGTCATGAGCGAAACTAATCCAAACAAAATGAAGGCCAACAGGCCAGCTCCATTAGAAATCCTTAGCCGTGTGAAGATTAACAGCAGACTCGAGAGTCCGATATCCACCATAAAAAGGTTCCTCAAGGTTCCCAAAAACAAAGAATTAAATTTTAAAAAGGAGGAGCTGAGGAAAATTGAGGAACTACTAAAGCGAGCTTTTATCGAGTTTTATCAGAAGCTTCGACTTCTAAAGAGCTACAGGTAATATGAGTTTCATGGATACAGAAAACTTATTTGCTTGAATTCGGTTGTGTTATTTTTCAACTATGTTTATTGTTTCCTTTTGAATGATTCAGCTTCTTGAATCTATTGGCATTCTCGAAGATAATGAAGAAATATGACAAGGTGAGATTATATACCAACTATATATCCAAATGTTTAATAGCATTCTGATAAGCAATCTGACTGACCTAGAGTTGAACTTAAAATAAACAAAAAAGTTTCTGATATATCGATACACTTAAATATATACAAATTTTGTTTTCCAATTGTGCAGATAGCATCAAGAAGTGTATCGAGAGCTTATCTGAACATGGTCGACAATTCCTACCTTGGTAGCTCTGATGTGGTAAGCTTATGTGATCGATGTGTACTATCAAATTAAGAATGGTCACTCTTAATTTTATCCCATCCCATCAAAAGAAAAAAAAAAAAAAGAACGGTCACTTTAATTCTTCATTCTATAAACTTGATGTGTTGCAGGGATAACTGGGATGGGGTGGGGTGGGAGAGTTCTGAATTCGTTTTCTTATTTTTATTTGTTTATAGTAGAAGCATCTTCTACTGCATGTGAAATATATATTACTTCTAACAGTAGTGAATTAATTAATTTTCAACAAGCTTGGTTGATATTGATTTTGCAATTTTGCGGAGCAGGTGACTAGGCTCATGGAGAGGGTTGAAGCTACATTCATCAAGCACTTCTCAAACTCAAATCGTAGTAAAGGAATTAAAACCTTGAGACCAAAACCAAAGAAAGAAAGGCATAGGGTTACATTTTCGATGGGTAAGATTCTCGAGAAGCTTCTCGGTGTTGTATGTTCGTATGTATCAACTAGGAGGATGAATTCATTTGTCAATCTGATATTAGTTAAAACAATGAAGAATAACTAAAAGCCCTTTCAGACTTGTGGAATATAAAACTTGTCTTCTCTGGTAAAATTTCTTCAGGTTTCTTTGCTGGATGCACCGTAGCTCTACTTGTGGCCCTTATTTTAATCATCCGAGCCCGAAATATCCTAGAACATGAAGAAGGTGCTCAGTATATGGAAAGTATGTTTCCGCTTTATAGGTAAGATCGGTTGATCTCCCTTGCAGCTTAGTTATCAACACTGCTAGCTGTAGTTTCAAAACTATATATATATATATATATATATGTATAATACTGGAAGAACCATTATATTCAATATATCTACAAGCTAAATCCTGTAAGCTCAAGTTATCCAAAATTAAACTTCATTGCAGCTTGTTTGGATTCATTGTCCTTCACATGGTTATGTATGCTGCGGATATATATTTCTGGAGACGCTACCGAGTCAATTATCCATTCATATTTGGCTTCAAGCAAGGAACGGAGTTGGGGTATAGAGAGGTCTTTCTCTTCAGTGCAAGTCTTGGCACGCTTGCTCTTGGAAGCGTTCTCTTGAACTTGGACATGGAGATGGACCCCAAAACCAAAGAATACAAGGCCTTCACTGAGCTGCTCCCTCTGGGATTACTTACAGTATGATTCCTAGCCTCACCCTACATTAATCCTTCTCTGCTTATTCTCAATAAATGTAATGTAGGAAGCGCATATTTAATTTGACTGGGAATTAAATCTTTCTTTCCTTTTTTTTCTTTTTTTATTTGTGTAGCTTCTTGTTATCATAATATTTTTCCCATTCAACATCATGTATCGCTCAAGTCGCTATTTCCTTCTACGTTGTGCATTCCATTGTGTTTGTGCTCCTCTGTACAAGGTACGTACATGATGATCATCAGGACAACTTCTGTGCTGAGATGGGTTCATTAATTTATCTTTAATTGCTGGGTATTCTTCTTTCTACAGGTTACTCTAGGAGACTTTTTCTTGGCAGACCAGCTAACTAGTCAGGTTAGTTTTTGACTTTCATGCTCCCATCTACTCATTAATTAGAATATAGACATCATTTGGTGGTCTGTTTGGAACAGCAATTAGCTAGCTAGTCATTAATTAATACTACTGTTTAATTCTATTCCACAGGTCCAAGCCATTAGAAGCCTGGAGTTCTATGTCTGCTACTACGGTTGGGGAGACTACAGACACAGAATTAATACTTGCAAAGCAAATAATGTCTACAACACATTCTTTTTCATTGTAGCAGTGATTCCATATTGGTGCCGCTTCCTTCAGGTACGTCCAGTCCAGTTCAGAGACATTTTGCCCCCCTTAAGATTGATTATACTACTCTGTTCTGTAGTCCATATTAATTAATCTGTTAGAACTCATCAAGGTAGTTTCTATATATGTTCTTGTGCCGCAGTGCGTTCGACGTCTGTACGAAGAAAAAGACCGAATGCAGGGATATAACGGGCTGAAATACTTCTCAACTATCGTGGCTGTCATTATGAGGACAGCTTACAATCTAGACAAGGGAAAGGGTTGGTGGGTGATGGCCTGGGTCACGTCAGCCATTGCTGCAATCAGCGGCACTTACTGGGACATTGTTGTTGACTGGGGGCTCCTGCAACGCCGGTCTAGGAATCGTTGGTTGAGAGATAAGCTCCTCATCCCACACAAAAGCGTTTACTTCGCAGCCATGGTAAGTAAGAAAGAAGATTTGTTTCACTCTTCTTCTTCTTCTTCTTCTTCTTCTTCTTCCAAGAACCCAATTGATATTGTTATGACAAGTATTTTGGGAAAAATTGCAGATACTGAATGTCCTGCTAAGATTTGCATGGCTGCAAACTGTGTTGAACTTTAAGCTGTCATTACACAGACAAGCTTTGATTGCTATTGTTGCAAGCCTGGAGATCATTCGTCGTGGCATTTGGAATTTCTTCAGGTATATATATCTTGGTTCTACTCCAATTAAAGTTAACTTATTATTCTAGCCAGAGACATTCATGTAAATATATATATATATATATATGGATGACAAAGGTCAATAGAAAATTTCATATAATCTGGCCTGGGTAACTTGGCCGAGTCAATACTGAGTTGCGTGATCTGTACTGGTATTTGAACTTTGGATTAAGTCGCACATCATAACCAATAAGACTCAATCCCTTCTTCTGTACCTGACCAAATATAGGCCCCCACTTTATATGAGAAAGAATTGAGGTAGGAGGAAGTTGGTGCAAATTTTGCATCAGTTTTTTAGATGCAAATTTTGCATCAGTTTTTTAGATGCAAATTTTACCCTGCCAATGAATGCAAATGAGACAAAAAAAACAATTTTTTTTTTATATATACAAATCATAGTTTCAAATAAATAGATGCAAGACTGAACCAGATACAAAATTTGTATCGGGTTCAGATTTCACTGCAACCAAAAGCAACCCAAGAAGTTTCAAAAAGAAATTACTTCATCCTGCCTAATTTTGGCATATGCAATATTCTTAGGAGGGCCCATTAAAGGATGGATCCTGATTTGTGCCATATGAATTTATCTACGGTTCAGACCTGAGGCTTTGGAAACGAAATACTCCTATGGAATCTTGTAATTATTTTTGTTTGCTGATGAGAAATCAACTGTTAATTGAACAGGTTGGAGAATGAGCATTTGAACAATGTAGGGAAGTACCGTGCATTCAAGTCTGTACCTCTGCCTTTTTACTACGATGAAGACGAAGAAAAGGACGAATAGCTAGCATTCCACTAGACTCACAAGGCCATCTAATTCATTATTCTACTCACACTGGATGGCTGGGGGTATGGAGAGAGAATACTTTTTTTATTTCTTAATAATAATTCAGTTCGATTAATTAATTACTTCTTTCATTATTTTGTACATGGAAATATGGAATATTGAGTCAATAATGAAAGATATGAATGACTTCCTGTTCAGTCAATGTGTAAATGGGTAGATTAACATGTTATGGGTATTTTGATTAATGTAAAGATGACCATTTACTCATCAGATCCTTTGGAACTTGGAATATAACTCCAATTATAGCAGATGTAAATTCTTTCTGTCCAATCCTAAATTCTCTATTGTCCATGTAAGTAAGGAAGCCCATTCCTTGGCCCAATTTGCTGCAATAGAAGGGACACTAGAGTGGAGACAGAGCAACATTCATGTGAGGCCCATGGGCCGTGTCAAGTCAGCATCTCAACGATGTACTGAGGATAGCATATAAAGTGAAAATCAGTCTTCACTGGCTAGCATTTTGCCTTTAAGCTAATGTGAGTTTGGTAGCATGAGCACTTCACTGCTCCGATTTTGAGAGATAAAAGGCAAAAGAAGACAGTTTGGCAAGAAATTTTCATCTTCCTACAACAAGGAAATAATTTTTTTTTTCCAAATACATGAGAGTTGAGACCTACTCAAGTCATACAAATGCGTGTGTATCATGTGCAAACCGGTCAGACGCGTTCCTACTTAATTCATTGGTCACCACATTTCCTTTTGAAGCGAAACTGTTGCTTTGGGTGAAAGTTATAATATTTTTTTGACAATTTGATTTTTGATAAAAAGCAATAAAATAAAAATCAGTTTGACATTTCGGTTTGGAAGCATGTGGCTACCGAACGAGGAAAAGAAAAATTTTTTGCTTCTCTAAATTAACGAACCAAATACACCCGTAGTTGGTGAAAGCTAGATCTGGCAAAAAGTTGATCCAACCCGCCAACTCGACTCAACCCAACCCGAAAAAACAGGGCCAGGGTCTCATATTTAGCTACCCTAATGGGAAAATGACCCGACCCCACCCAATCCGAAAAAAAATGGGTTGGGTTGGGTTATGGGTCAATCCACTGACCCGATTGTCAAGTCTAATTGGGATTATTTATGCATTGTTAGAAGTTTCTACTCTTTAATATTTTTCTATTTAGTATTTACTTTTTATTGTTTACTCTTTAAATTGTTAAATGTTCAAGTTTTTTATTTTATATTTGGAATTTTAAGGTTAATTCTTTTAATTTTAACATTTTTCATGTAAATTTTCTTTATTTTTTTAAATTTTAATTATTTTTTAGGATGATCTGAATTGACCTGACCCATGGGTCAATCCTAACCCGAACATTTAGAGTTAGGGTCTAGAATTTGACAATCCAACCCGAAATTCAACCCGACCTAAAATCAACCCGAAATATATTGACCGAACCCAAACCCGAACCTAAACCACCCAACCCAATTGCCAGGTCTACTGAAAGCACAGCGATTGTCGATTGGGGCAAAAGAATTGACCAAAGTGTAGTCAAACTCTCATTGGGGATTCCACGGAAGTGTGAGTTACAATTTGAGTTATATTCACATTTTGATTTTTCAAAAAATCAAAGGGTTTACTGGGATAACGCTTATACATAGGGCTAGGTCTTTTGCTTTTCCCGGGTCACCACCGGTTTACAGTTTCTAGCATCTGGGTCAAGACGGTTTGAAAACACTAGTTGCACTGTTTCATAAGTCATACTTCTCTTTTGAATCTGGACCTATCTACACTTATCTCTACATCACTACAGTCGAACATTGAGAAAAGATGTTCCAAATATACAGTTTGTGTATTGTGGGCAGCATTTCATATGAACCAGACACAAAAGGGCAAAAATACATCAAACCACTCAAAAATACTTCTCTCTCTATAATGGCCTGATTAATGATTGCATCTCTTTCTAGTAACCTTATCGGGATGAAAAATAATAGGAAGAGGATTTGTTTCCTCTAGTCTTTGATTTTAGGGATAAGTGGTTTGTAATCCACCTCAGAAATCTGAATTGTAGCTCTTAGAAATCCTAGCTCCACCTTAGGGGTGGACTGAATTATAAAACCCCCATTTTATTACTTTAAAAGTAATTAGTGATAAACCTTTTGATTTTTCCTCTGATATCTGATTTCATAGTTTATGTCTTCATCCTCTCGTAGTGTCAAAAGCCTCTCTAAAAGCCTTTTCCGTGAAAGCCAAAAACTGGTATGAATCATCTCATTGATTCTTAAAACAGTGTACAGATGCTGACAACATGGAATCTTGTTATACCCTCGCCGGTGGTATGTGGGATGTGAGATGTTTCTGGGTTAGGGCTTGGTGGACGAGAGGAGGAAGAGGGAGTTTAAAGAAGATTGGAAGAAGAGGAAGGAGAGGAGGAAGAGTAATGGGAAGAAGAAGAAGAAGAAAGAAGATTCTCTGCTTACCGCTAGACCGCCGCAGGTGGATTTTATGTCCACTAATGCCGGTGTATTTAATGTATTTTTTTATTGTCCACGAATGTCAGTGGGATGTGGGATGTTTCTGGGTTAGGACTCGGCAGAGGAGAGGAGGAAGAAGGAGTTAGAATGGATTTAATATGTTTTTAGAAAGCCCTTAACTAAAACCAAAATTCAAAATACTACCTGGTAGCTTCTTATTAGTGGGACCTCATCTATGAAAATTAGTTACATAGTCCTAATATTGTCACCATTAATTTGACCTTGTTCTTTGGGTATGGTTGAGAAAATGTTCATTCCATAGTGGAATGTGTTGCATGTGTTTAATAAATAACAGATCGACTTGTATACATTAATAAGTGAAAGAAGCAGCAGAGATAATTGCATTGATGATCAGACGATGCCAGGTGGTCCTTGAAGTAAAATTATTATTGATTTATGTGTATCTTGCTCTTTCTATATCGATCCTAGCTAGTAATGGTGGATGCCATGCAGCATTAATGGAATTAATTCATTAAAACCATTTACATGATACTCTTTTCTTTTTTGAGGCTTCTAATAAACTGCCAAACTGATAAGAGAAGTAAGCACATTGACATGCTGAAGAGGTGGGTACTGGGTAGATATCTAATTTAGATTTCTTCAGTTCAGGAGGGGGAGACGACCTAAGATTCTCCGGGGTTTAATTCTGATGATATATCCAATCCAAACGCAAAAGTTCATACTTGTGGCTGCTAATCTATAATACAACTGCTATTAGGATTTCTAATTTCTTTCACATAAACAAAAAAAAAAAAAAGAAAAGAAAACGGAGTAAATCATGTAATGCCATCATTGAATGAGATGAGGAAATTGTCGGTTTTCACTTTCCAGAGTAGATTATGTCTCGCCCCTTTTCGGCTTCATTTTTATTAGTCCGACGGATGGAACCACGAACTTGCCTTTTATTAATCTAAAACCAAAATGCAATAAGAAAACTGTGTCTATTAATGATCTGACTTCTGAGAGAGAGATCCCGAAAGGCGAAAAGCTATCTTCTACATGGTCTAAATGAATCTTCTGTCCGTCCTTTATTTTTGGACTCTGTCCACGCGGCTATTAGTGGAAGGGATTGACCAAAACATGCAGATGTGTGCTTCTTCTTAATTTGTTTGATCTCTCATCTGATAATAAAACGAGAGGCCTGCCATCTCTACGAAGTGATATGGAAACTGCACAATTTAGACCATCCATCAATTCAATTGGGTGGGTTGGGTTGGTTCTTGATTCTTGACTGCCCACCATGTTTTCCTTCTTTTCTTTTATTTGATCCATCCATGCATGTCAGCTTTCTCCCTCCATTGATATTTCTTTAATCTTTCTCTCATGGAGTACAAAGTAGCAACATGTCTATTTAAATTTAAATGATGGATGACACAACCATTACCAGAATAATAATTTATTAAATAGACCTACAAATTGCAAGTTATATATATTTTTAAATATTTAACTGACAAACATAAAATTATTGTGCCTCTACTCATTATAAAATTGGTCCTTCAACTTAAGTTTTCTTATTTGAGAAGGTACGCCGTACGCCTCCTATAATTTTCTACTTGGAGTAGGTCCATGAGTTGGAATATTTTGTAAGGGCCCGATTCTGTTTGGTTTGATGGAAAAGAAAAGGGAAGCAGAAAGTAGCTGGAAATTAAGGGTCTGTTTGGTTTATAGTTAAAATTGCAATAAAAAAATTTCAGAATTGGAATTGAAATAATAGTCTATTTCCTTTGGTTCAGACAGTAATTGGAATGAGAATTAGAATAAGTTGAAATGGAATTTCAGTTCCAAGGGAAGGGGAAGGAATGGTCATTCCATCAAGAATGGGAATGGGATTCTGACTCCATCCAACAAAACAGTTGGAATAGGAATAGCCCCTATTCCCATGAACCTAATGAACCCTAAAGTTTTCAAGTAACTTCACACATTTTATCAACAACTTTCAATTAACTTTTGTTTTTTTTTTTTTTTTTTTCTCTTGTATTTTCTGTGATACTGGAACATAGCCTCATATTATATAGATATTGGCGCAGTGGCATAATGGTTAAAAAAGTGCAGAAAGTTATAGGCCATTTCGCATCAAAAAGTAAATAAGGAAATTAAGAAGACTTTAACATCCACATAGTGGCTTATAAAATGGGAATAAACGTTAAACCAAAAGAAGACATTAATTGATTGACAAGTTGTTGATTTTCCTACTACAGCTTCTGGGAAATTTTGTTAATAATTCGTAAATAAGATGGTTAAAAGGCATTTAATTAATCATGATGATTAATTGTTGGGGTAGACAGTACTATTTTAGGCTTTTAGTTACCACACATGACACATCTACTGGTGGGTCAAATGTGTGAAGCCACTCTCTTCTCGATCGTCTAATCAGTTTAAGTTAAGCTAGCTCTTAAATAGTTAAATCTATTCTAATTAGTATTAACCCTTTTGAAGATGAATTGTGTGAAACCCCTAATTAATGAAATCTAGGGGCTATTGCTTCAAAATTATATGCAGAGTTAGCTAGCTAGCTTTATGGTATAATATTCACATAAATTGTTTCTCTGGATGGCTAATCCACCTTAAAGATTTATTAGGTAGGAATTGGAAGCCAACTTTTCTAGTCGAATTAGGTTGGAGTTTTGAGTTAACTACCTTATTGGGGTTTTTCTAAGATTGGGCTAAATTTTCTTGGTTAGTGAATTCGTTTTCACTATTTCATATATTCAGTTTTATTGCAAAGAGTAGTTAAGTAAGTTGCTCATATAAGGAATGTAAGACTCGGACCAGAATGGACGGTTG